AGCGAGTAGGGCAAGTGCAGACAGGTCCGAAATAGCTCTCACTTTCTTTTCTCAAGGACGGAACGGAAAGCGTGGAATGACCGTCGCCTGCCGGTGCATTGATACGAGTTGAGCAAGAGTCGTGGGGGTTCGTTTGCCAAAAAGGAAGCAACGCCTGGGTTACCTAATAAGCACCTTGGCGGTTCAGGTTGAGGAGGGAAGCCACGTAAAAGTCGAAAGTACTTGCTACCCTGATGTTTCCCAGCATTTTCCCTTTTTGCTTTCTATCCTCTCATTTCTCAGAAATGCCACTTGAATTCTGTCTCGTCTTTTCAAATGGATCAGAATGGATTCGTATATGTTGATGAATTTCCATACCATCTAGAATCGACTACAAACGGGGCGCGACGATCATGCCGGCAGTAACACGGGTCGTCCCTTCCCCAAGGGCCAAGCGCCTGGAGTCCCGACGGGAGTCTGGAGCTCAACTGTGGACTCGCAGCTTTTCACGATCCGCAGCCGCCAAATCGCTGGCCACTTTTTTCACGATGCCGCCCCTAAAAGGCTCCATTCCGCCCCGAAACGGCAATGGTCCATTTTAGACGTGCACCCAAGCCAAAAACCTTAACCAACATCTGCTGAAAACATGGGGTGGAAGCACAGACCACTCACTTTGGTTTCTCTCCCATCTTCTTCCCAATATTCGATCAAGTTGTTGTGCGTTGAGATGCTCGGCCATTAAAAAACAATAAGCTCCAATATCGACATGACTGAGATCAAGGATATCATCAAGGCCAAGATATACCGCCACAGTTTTAGCTTGCCTCCTTGCCCCGGGTCTGCTATTGTGGCTCCCCTGCTACGAGTAAGGTACCTACAGCTTCGAGACATCAAATATGCATAATCAAGGAAGCGCATTTTGAGGGCAGAGGTCTCGAACTTCGGATACGAATACATAGATGTCGGTAAACAAGGCGTGTCTATCAAAAGAACCCTGTTCGCCGTATCCCCAGAGCCGACAGGCTTGCCACGCGGCACTTCGTCGTGATGCAGGGCGTCACGCATGAACCGTCGACAACCTCAGGTTCGTCAAACGCTGTAGACTTCTTGGATAGGGACTGTGTGTTTGTCATTGTCGAAATCCGGTCCGCAAATTTCCGTTATTTTCATGGAGGCTTCCATCACTGCGGAATGGCCTTGCAAGCACGAGCACGTACGAAGCTCTGCCGCAAAGTCAATCCGTTCTGCAGGGATTCAGATGACACCTCTTCCGCATAAAAGCTCCGATCGACCCAAACTAGAATGACAAGTGACAAGTCATTCAGAGGAGCATATGAAGAGCCGATGTTGGTATTCGCTCACGTTGTTGCATTCGCCTCGCAGACTAGCTGTTACTGCCATGCAGCTATGCAACCTACCCTCACCGGTTGTCCACCGCTATGCTTGTCTCGCTGCGGGACAGATCGTGAATGCGTGTCAAGCAATTCAGACGGCTTCTCAATGATCTTGGCCGTCAATTGCACCTACAAATCATACTCAGCCACAATCATCACTCTACCACATGGACAAGCTGGCATCATATTATGCTGGCACCACAGCTCGTAAATACTCAATAACATTAGGATTTCACACCGGCAACTCCAGCAATGCGTTCTCTCTTCCCCCACCCCAGCTAGAGTGCCAGGGGATGCCTCAAGAGACCGATTATGAGCAATCTCAAGTTATTCAGAATTTCAGAAAGCAGCCCGCGGATCAGGGCGTTGAGACGGCGAATGAAAACTCCTGACTAATCTCAACACCATTGAGCAAGCGTCTAACTTGAATCCTCGGTAACCACCGCATCCCGGTTGTACCCTTCCCATTGATCTTGCGGTTCTATCTTGGTCCAGAACAAGGCATCTGAGGCACTGAATTACTGGCCGAGAAGCAGCTTTTTCGCCAGTCGTCTGACTGACTGCTTGCTAATCTCTGGTTGCAAGGTAGACACAAAAGGTCCGGTATCAGATCAGGACAGGCTCCCGAATCGTCACCATACCGAACGGAGCGTACGGATCTAGAAGTCGCAAGTAGCCGTTGCGGGGGCTTGCAGACCGACGGATATTTAAAGGTGCGTCTAACAGAAGACGGTGAAGTTTTCTGTCCTTCCCAGTCACATCCCACGCCCGTCCCCCACACCGACGGTGACTTGCCCACGCTCACCCCCTGCTATATTTACATTAGGACGAGAAAAAAAAATCTCGAAACAATCACACGACGGAGGGAGACCTTCTCGAAGCCTACGTAAACCCAGGACTTCCCCGTCCCCACCCATGTATGGCAGGGGATATCCCCGTGTTCCATTCCGGGGGCCGCTTCCGTGGGGGGAGCAACCCAATCCATTCCCGTCGCAGGTTTCTGCAACTTCACCGCCAGCATCTTTCGGAAAGTCTGTCATTTCTATCAGTTGGAGGTTTTGTCGTCCTCCCGCATCCTTTTTGAATGACTCTCGTGGGGAGCATTTCACTGCAACACATCAGATGCAAAGCATGGGACTTCCCAGCGCGGCCGGGGAGTCTTGACCCCTGCCTTCCGGGCGGTCAGTACTCCGTACGTAAACTTGAACCACGATATGATGGTGCAGGTGTAAACATCAGTAATTGTGTAATACCAAAACACGTGACTCTCGGTGAGTCACCGGAGTAGTTGATGCCATCACGACATCAGGAAGAAAAAGAGCACTACTCATATTAACAACGGGAAGTAAAAAGAGTTCACCCCTCCCGGTGCTGAACTGGGGGCTACATCTCTTGGTGCTCATGCTGGGAAATTCATTTATGGGCGCTCAAGCTGGAATTCGAACTCGGGTACTCTCGCGAAGCCTGTCGTCGAGTAGGCTGGTTGGCGTGTATAATTGATTGTCGACCTTTAACCACTCCACCACCCAGCCAGTTTGACCTGACCCGTCGACCTAGACGGGCGCCTGCTGGCTGGTGACGGGAACTGGATTGAGGGGGGGGTATATACCCTTTCTCTCCAGGTCATGGCCATAGCCATGGACAGTGTGGGAAGGTACGGTTCAGCCACCACGACACACAATCACGTGGGTGCGTATGCCGTATACCCATTTAATGTACTCTTTCCAGTCAGTTTCTGAGCCTCTCTAACCTTTCTAGAATAAGGAAACCGAGACTTATTCTTGCCTCTCCAGTCTTCCCAGCCTGGGGCCTATGTATATTCATGCTGTAATGCTCAGAGAGCGATCCCGGGGGAGGCATAGGACTATTATACGGATAGCTTGTTGCAAGACAACGTCTCTTTCAATGTCAACCAATCCATTGGCCTACACGAAGAATCTTCCCAAACTAGACCTTCACTTTCATGTGTGTCAATCGGCACACGGCAATGGATGTCGTTCTTTTCTCTAAGAAGGTATCGACGGCGAGCTAAAGGGAAGTGGACATACAGTTCTTCACCGGGGTTCGTCAGCTTTGAACGTCCTGAGAAGTTTGCCTCTGTTGCACATTAGATTCGTATAGGTCGAGTCTGGCATAATATATCGTCTAGGTACTCTCGATCTCTTGCTGAAGCTTGGTCAGGACAGAAGGTGACCGACCTATAGAACTTGAAACCTTTTCAAGAACACTCGGACAATGTCTTCATCTTTCGACAACGATCTAGTGGACCCCCTTTTTGTTGGTTCGGCAGGATATCAGGACCAATTTGTTCCGCAGAAACGAACAGCAGGGACTTAACAAACCATGGCACGATTAGGACCAAGGTCAAGATTGATGTTCGATACATTGTTTGGATCTCGTTTGAAAAAGAAATGAACGGATGTGCCGCGCGGCACGATCATACACCGAGGCTCCTTGCAACTAGTACGTTTACCCCGTCAAAACGAGTCGAGCATAGGCAAAACAAAGGGCGAGGGACCTGGCCGTGAGAAAGTCGCGCTGTCCTCGTTTGTCAAGAACCCAGATTGGGTCCTCCCTATCTTGTGCCGACTATAAGTGAAGTTCTTCCTTCCTCCTAGCCATTGCTGAACTAGTCTGGACTCAGATTTTTCTCCAGCTCTTGCCAAAACTCTTGACTTCAACTCTTAGTAGCAACCCCGTTATCTGATGCCAGCCCTTACCGGGGAGAACAGTCAACCATCTGACGACCGCGTCCGCAGCCACCCCAGAAAAACACCCTCTTCCCGTCACCTTTCTCAAGCTGATCCCCGAAAAAAACTCTTCCACTAGACTCCCGGCTCCGTCGCAGGAAAGAACTTCCTAACAAACCATCAGATATAAATAGGCGCTCCCCCCCGTCTTCGGCACCACGGTGGTAAGAGGAATGGGAAGCCAACTCCGATAAGACCACATACTACAAGTCCTCCCGGACCCCATCAGCCGTTTCTCTAGATACAAAGTCTCTTCATCCTGTCCAGAAAAGGTGACGTAATCCCTCGTATAGACAGCCAAGACAGCCCGTCGTGAAGCCTGCCTTCCACATTATCAGGTTACTCAAAGGCCGAGTAAAGAAACCGAATCTAGAGTTCATGGACAAAGACTTCTGTCCGGGAAAGAAGAGAATCAGGCGCCGTGGTTGCTAAATGTTTGCTTTCCCTTTCCCCGTTCCCCCCTCTCTCTCCTCTCTCTCGCGCTCAGAGAAACGTCCCAATACACACGCCCCCAAAGAAGACGCGGAATTCATACAAATGTCTTCATCCCCAACGACTTTGAAGTACCAATACGAATACAGCCGAACTGCCATGACCTACGAACAAAAACGAATGGCAGATGGAAAATCCTTTCCATACATTGATAGTCCCCCCCCCCCCCAATCGCTCGCATTTGCGCACAGCAACCACTCCATGTAGGCCCCCTGGTGGCTTTTTCAGTGGCGCCAGCCGCATAGATATAGAGGGAGGGCAGAAAACACACATTTATCAGAAAGGGAAGAGAACCTTTTTTTTCTATCTATCTCGTCCAGAGAAGAGGGACGATAGGACCAGCAAAGGCACTAAGAGCTTCACTAAAAAAAAAAAAAAAAAGAAGATGACAGTCTAGGGCTCATCAATGCGAATGCTGACAATCTGCATGACATGGTCGCATGAGGATGAAAACTAGCTTTATAGAGTTGGAGAAGTCGACAGGATCATAAAGACCATGTTCTGTTCTGTAGAAGGAGGGGCTGAAGCGTAAATGAGACATCATGTTCAGAGTATATGGGATAACCGGACCATGGAATCACTCGACACTGCACGACACCACTGGAAGACAAGGCTACACTGCTTTTAACTTTCTTAGGCCTGCTGGGCCTGAGGGTCATTCCTCTACCTAGTCGAGTCTGTCTAGAAGAGCCATTGTGCCACCGTCACGGTGGTACATCGACTCGCGCATGACCAGTAAAGAACGCCCTCCTGTGTGGGCTTGAGACATGAGGGACTATAGAGCCGAGAACATGCCCTCTCGTAAGTGCCCGTCGACGTCTCATCTGAAAATCGATCCTTTTTTTTTCTTCGGATGTGTTCTGTACAGAGTAGAGAAATCCCCACAAGACAGGTTGAAAAAGGGGTTAGCCTGTCTGCCCCCAAAAAAAGAGTTGACCACCTATTCCCGCTGGCCAAATCAGATCGTGCGATTCATCGTCTCGTCCCTCCTTAGTAACCGATATCCAGGGTGACATTGGTCACTAGACTTTGGTAACATGATTGGTCCAAAGCGGATGTCTTGATCCAATGGGAAGACAGAGTTGCGCATACGCAACCAAAGCCTGACTTTGAGGCAGGTTGCCGAGATCAGAATCGTGTCGCCTCTATGTAAATCGAAGAGAGAAAAGCCGTCACAGAAAGGGACATTGCTCGGTCGCCAACATGCCGAATGATGCTGCGTGTGCAAGTCGTCGAGAAGAAGAAATGTCAGAAAGTCCAAGCCAAAAATGGTTCAGAGCCCTGAAGTGGTATCTTGAAAGCAAGTAGAGTTATGATTGGGGGTCGAAAGGCGGCTAAGCCAGGGCACGGACACACACTGGGTCCATGAGCATATCGAGAGCCAAAGGGGTTGACCAAAGGATGAGTAAAGTTATTGTGCAGAGCGGAGGTGGAAAGCGTCCTCAAGCTACGTGTGTCGTGGTCAACAGTATTTCCTGGGGTATCTTCATGCACAGGTAAGGGGCAGCCCCATTTTGGATGTATGTTGTCGTCAAGGTCGTCATTAATGTCGATATTTCAACCGCTTGAAGATGTTCTTCGGTGAATAGCCAGGGGAGTCCTACTGTCCCTTTCTGGCCTTCTCGGCAAGCCGAGCTTCTCTTGCGGCACGCACCAATGGCGATAATTGAGAAAGGTCAACGCAGCCCTTCATGAACTCGTGCTGGAAGAAAAGGAAAATGTCAGTATCAGACCATGTCGCTGGGATCTCGACTGAACTCACTCTAAGGAGGTCATGCGCGCTGGCTCTCTTCTCAGGGTCGACTTTGAGGGCAAAGTACAGGAAGTCCCGGAAGACTGCTGACAGGTTGGACTCCTCCTTGATGTGGGGTGTGCCGTTGGTAGCGATCAACCACAGCGCTCTAAGAGGCGATTCGGTCAGGTATGGCGGCTCTCCCTCAATCATCTCAATGGCCATAATGCCCAGAGACCAGATGTCCACCTTGCGCCCGTACTCCTTGCGCGTCACAACTTCAGGGGCCATCCAGTAAGGCGTGCCAACCATAGTGGTGCGCTTATTTTGGGCCTCGTTAATGGTTGCGCAGAAACCGAAATCGGCTATTTGGTGTTAGTTTTGCCATGGTGTCGAATTTTCGCTCAAAACTTACTCAGCTTGATGTTGCCTTCCATTGACAAGAGAATGTTGTCAGACTTAATGTCACGGTGGATGACTCCCTTTGAGTGCAGGTGCTGCAAGCCCTTAAGTGTTTCTCTGCAAACGGAGGCAATCTGGCCCTCGGTCATGATGTTAAAGGTGACAACATCAGTAAGGCTGCCACCCTCCATGAACTCCATCACAACCCAAAGCTCACCTCCGCAGAGGAAGCTGTCAATGAAGTTGACAATATTGGGATGTGAGCTGTCCTTCATGACAAGGATTTCGTTGATAATGAGATCCTTCTTGGGTTGCTGTTCGAGGTTCATCTGCTTGATAGCGACCAGACGGTTTGTTCCTCGCTCGTAGCCGGTGTAGACACCGCCTGACGCGCCTTGGCCAATCTTATTAAAATTCTTATAGACCTCGCGAGGATCGCCGTCGGAGCAGATGCGCTTCAGTGCAGCGACAACATCGATACCGGTGCTCTGGCGGGGTCGGTGTCTGGGTCTGGAACCAGGTGCGCCAGGTACACCAACTTGCTGTCGCTGGCCGGGACCGCCGTTTGCCGTGGGACCCTGAGCGTACTGGTGTTGCGACTGGGGCGGTGTCGGCTGCTGGGCGGGCTGTCTCTTGCTCGGGGCACGGCTGATCTGGCCAGACATGGCCGCTTGGGCCTGAGCTAGGGCCTGCTCTTGCTGCTGCTGCATGAGTTGCTGCTGGTAAACGTTCGCCTGAGCTGTCTGCGGGTTAGGCGTGGGGGGCACGTAACCGGCGGGGGCGCCAGCACGCGAGTTGGATCGGGATCGGGATCGGTGCTCTCCACGATGCTCTTCGGGTAGCATGGGAACGTTGCTCTCCTTGGGCGGCTGATAGGCGACCGGGGGCAGGTCCTCGGCGGGCTGAGATATTCCAATGCCAGAGTCCTTGCCGGGATAGTTGGAGGGGGCGGACCTCATCGACGAGGGCATGCTGACGGGTGGCTTCGGGGCCGGGCGGCTGGGCATCAGGTTGATGTCCTTGCCGGAGCCTTTGCCTCCCGAAACTCCAGGGACGGGCGGCGGCTGGCGGGGGTTTTCGAAAGATCCTTCATGATTGACAGTTGGAAACCTAGGGCTCGCAGGTGGACTGATCATTGGTGACATACCCATATAAGTGGTTGGCGGATACATGCCCGGCGACATGGCACCCGACGGCGAGTTCGCGTTTGCATACTGACGGTAGTCAGGCGCTCTAGCATCGTGGAATTTCTCCAAAACTTGATCCTCGGCTGGCTTCTCGGTCGTTTCCTTGTAGAATGTGATGATGTCAACCATGGTCTGGGGGTTCTCCCTACGTTCCTTCTCGGGAATTCCACTCTCGTTGATTAATCTCTGCCATTCTTTGGGGAGACCCTGTATCGTAGAAAATCGTCAGCTACACCAAGCACACGAGGACAAAGAGGAAGTACGAAAACAGAGAACGAGTAGAGACTCGACTGCTGCACAAGAGAGCCAAACATGGGCCTGGAGGGGGGAAATGGAGGGGCCGGACTGACGGTGAACTGGCCAGTCGAGCTGTCGTAGCCGACGTGGGTGACATGGACGGGGTTCTCAGGCGCAGAAATGACTGGCTTCTTTGGGGTGCCGACGAGGCTGTTCATGAAGCCAGAGAAGCCCGACTTCTTGCGCAGGACGCCCATGCGGGGCTCCTTTGCCTCGTCTGAATATCTCTTGGGGCTGATCATTGAGTTCTCCGTCACCCGTCCGCCTTGTGATTTTTCGTTCATCATGGAGGAATCGTTCGTGAAGCTCTGGGACTGTCTCAGGGCGGGGCCCTTGATGCGCGAATCGGTCGCTGACTTGATGAGCGGGGCGGGAGCGTTGTGTCGGTGGTAGTTGGGGGTGTTGAAGTGAGGATGCTGACCGGCGACAGGCGACTTGGTCTGCTCGATGCGGTTCAGGACCGCAGCACCGTCAAAGGGAGCGCCGATGAATTCGTCGTGGGGTTGTGACGACAAAGGCGAGGGAGCGGCGGGATCGAGAGATCGATCGGTGCTGTGGGCGATGCCGACGGCGAAACCGTTACCTACAGGACTGTTGTTGGTGTTGTTGTTTTGGTAGAAATTGTTTGGGTGATTGAAGTGCAGCTGATGGTGGTGAGGAGAAAAGGCGTGGGCGTGGGTTTGGGCGTGACCGTGAGCAGCAGCAGAAGCGCCAGCGGCAGCAGAAGAAGCGTGGAAGGTGGAGGAGGAGGAGGTCTGGGCCTGGGCGTGGAGCTGGGGGTGGTGGTAGGCAGTTGGGGAAGGAGCAGCAGATCCAGCGACGGCGGCGAACTGGCCCTGAGGCAGAATGGGGGAAGGATTGGGAAGGTGCGTCTGACTTGATGGAAGGTGACGGGGCGAAGAGCTGTTGGAAGCGGCAGAAGAAGCAACGCCGGGTAGAGGAATACCAGAACTCTGAGCCGAGCCAGAAGCAGAAGCAGAGGCAGAGGAATAAGCAGCTGCTGGTGCGTTTGAGGGCGTCGTCCGGGCTGGTGGAGCGGAAGGAGCGCGCTTCAGCGATGTAGAGCTGCGTTTGCTCTGGAGAGAGAGGGCGTCGATGCCACCATCGAGACCGCTCGAGGAACGGGTGTGTTGCTGGTAGGACGAGGGTGGCTTCTTGGTGAGCCTGCGACGTTGGGAGGTGCCGTTGGAAATAGTCGTGCTCTGGCTGCTATCCATGATACACCCTAAAAAGTCTAAAACGTCGAAGAAAGGGAAAGGAAGGGAAAAAAGAGGGTATGAATAGAGGGTGTGTGAGGAGGAAAAACTCGGTACGGGCACAATGCGATGCTGTCTCCCCTTGGACTTGTGCTCGAGACGTGGAGTGGACGGCGGGAGAGGTACGCACGCGGCGGCGGCGACGGCTGTGTGGTAGCGGTAGTGGTGGTGGTGGTGGTCTGTCTGCCTACCAACTCTCAGTCTCTTAAGAGTGAGTCTACGGTCCTCAAGCTGGAGGTGATAAGGCTTTGGTGGGCAAGGTATACTGAGGTGTGTGGAGGGGCCAGTAGTACCGGCGAGAACGGTGTAGATGGCAGCAAAACTACAAGTACAGTCGCAGTGACAGCCGTGTCTCGAGACTTTTCGAGTCGGGGAGTGAACCGGGAAGGCGTGCAAGACAGAGGGGAACGGTTTAGCCTTGGTCTTGGTCTTAATTAGCAAGCAGCGGCGGTAATCGATCCAAGCATAAATGGAGCCTTAAGGTAAGGTAGGTATAGACCGTACGGAATTTGGGACGAGAGATACTTACCTAGGTACCTGAGTACTTGCGATGGCGAACGGGCACCAAAGGTACCGTCCACTGGTCCACTGAGGTTCTGTATAAAAGTAGGCGCTGGGTCGCAGGCTCGCAGCAACTTCTGTGCCTGATGGGGACCGGGACACGCTGACTGTCACTGGCTGAATGGAGACGAAAGAAGTGGAATCTTGGAACCGTATGAGGTGAGGTGAGGTGGGTTGCGGAGCGAGGGGAGTGAAGTGGACGACGGAGCGACGGGGGATTGTTTTACTGGGACCCGGAGGCTGGCAAGATTCGAGAAAAGCTGGCAACTGGGGGCAAACCGCCAGCAAAGCCGCCAGCACGACAATAACTCTGTGGGAAAAAGTGCGTATGGATACGGATATGAGAATCTTAGGTTCTGGGTAGCGAATAGCTCCTAGTGGAGTGAGCAATCACCAAGGTGGATGGGAGCGCAGGCCGTCAGACTAGGGCAAGAATGGGACTACTCTCGCTGATTACCTTGGTGCTGCCGATGCTGGTTGAATTTGCTGGGAACCAACTTGCCTAGGGAACGTATCATGTATCCCGTCAGGTAGTGTACGCAGGAGACTGCCCGGAGTGTACATGCAGCGGGGGATAAGACGAGACAGGACTGGGCTGGACTGGGCTTGGTGGGACGCAGGTTGCACGGTACAGAATCACAGAGTGCGCAAAGAAGGACTCGACAGATTCGATGCAGTCCAATGGAGTGGTGTGTCAGTGACTTGCTTTCTTCACGGGCTGCAAGACTGGCTGCAAGACTGACTGCAAGAGACAACACCCGACAGGATTCAGGGAGCAGAACAATCGACCAAGTATCCTTATTACGGACCTGAGTACCTTACCTCACTGCGTACAGTGAATGGAACAACACCCATAGCGGGTGGAGTTGGAGGTTCCATTTTGCTTGTTCTGGTCTCCTGCTTCGCGTGTTTCCCACTCTGTTTTGGTTCGGGTGCTTGGAAAAGTAAAAGCGGGGTCTGTTCAGATTGAAGTGGGAGAAGGCACGAGAGGGACCGGCTAGAAGAGGTCAAGTCAAGTGGGCAGGCGTAGCAGGGCCGCAAAATGGGCGTGGCAGCTGGGTGGGTACGAAAGTATCGGAGGATGAATTGGCGGACGGGCTACCTTAGCCTGGGGGCCGTGTGGCCGTGTGGCCGCGGCCGTGTGGTGTGGTGGTGTGGGAAAAGGTGGAGTAATAGCCTGTGAGGTGGGGTCTCATCCGGCAGCGTCAAGTACGTACTTTTTGGTCCTCTCGGTGCCTTCCATTTCATTGCCCGGGCAGGTGCAAGATGCCCCAACCCGCCTTACTACGTACCTACCTTACTTACCTAAGGCACAAAGTACATACGCTTTGAGATGACAGAGCCCTGGCTGCAGGACTGGATGGGAGGGGCACACACTTTTACCTTGACCAAGGCACGAAGCCTTGCTTTGAGACTTCAGATGGTTGTCTGCGAAAGACTCCAAATTAGAAAACACAGTGTGCCATCTGTCTCCAAACGTACATCAAGCTCCCTACTGGAGCATCGCGGTCCATTCTTACTGAGCCTCCGAGCCTTAAGGTAGTGATTAGCTTCCCAAGGTCTTGGTGTCATTTGTGCCCTACCATCTCGAGAAGGATGAAAGTTTGAAAAAGTGATTCGTATTCTTTCTGAAGAACTGACAGCGCATACGGCCGGACTCTGAAAAGGGAAAGACGACTCGACTTGCCAGCCCTCGCGCTTCCCGCCCTGATTGGCCGCGACAGGCAGCCGACTCAGGACTGGCCAACTTCAAACTTGTGATGCGTGCTAAAAGGTGCTGGAGATGCGCTGCAGTCGAAAGAAGAAACCTGCCCTGCCCTGTACTTTTGATCCAGCTGCATGTTTCCTCTCATGTTGTAGCGCAAGGTAGTTGTTCGGACCCGTGCTCGAAATGACCTCATCTCGGGACTTGCTTTGGTTCCAGGCTGACTCCTACACATACAACCGTAGATTGGGACTGTGACGGAGATAGGCTGGTCGTCTTTAGGCGCCTGCTACCAGCTTCTTTTCTTTTCCAATCTTTCCAGACGTATCACCAATGGTCATCTCTGCGAGCTCATGTCCCGACATGGACGATCCAGCGAAGGGGCTGGGCTGTTAGTAGCACATCCAGCGGCCCAACCAACAATCGCAACTGAACAGGTGACACCAAGCAATCAGCGCCATTTGGCCTACAGTGTATGACGACAAGATACACTGTTGACCACATGCCCTGTCGTGTGCCCCTCATCGTCATCATCGTCGCCGGGAAACTTCCAGTGTCCCTGTATCTGTATCCGTACCTATGCTGTCTGAGCAAGGCTACCTCGGGCAAAGCTACGCGAGACGAGCCTACTCCACCAGCGGCGGAACAGCTTCCTTTGAACACAGAGGTGAGGGGACTCGCACTTGCAGGTCCCTATATCAAGGACAGGAAATGTGAGAATGGTATCTACTGTAAAAGCAATTAAGGGGGGCGTGTTCGTAGTTGTGGCAGATGTGCATCGCACAACACCTCGTACCCCAGAATAGAATGCAAAGTATTTTGGCAACAAAACCCCCGAGTCTGAGCTTTCCTCGCCCTGCTGCTGGGCTAAAAATGATAATGCAGACAGCCAAGGTACGGATAGACAGGTTGACTGACTTTCACTTACCTAACCATCATCTGTGTGTTCCCCTCAAAAGGCTCGATGTCGAATCGCTGGCGTGTTTGGGAGGGTAGGAGAGAGTGCCGGGGCAGAGACACCGGCGCAGGCCCCTGGGCCGCGTCTGTGGTTCAAACTGATTGCTTTCGGGAAGAAGCACAGCAGGGCCGCAGGCTCCAGTTGAGGAGTAACAGCAACCGGGAGCAAGCAACCAACGGAGAGCTCGAGAGCAGAGCTACGGCAACTACCACCAGCAACACCCGCGAGGTAAGGTAGCTTGCTGGTTGCTTGCTGCGCTTCCTGAGTTCCTCACATAGTTGCATTTCCACCGTGCCTTGAAGTTGGGGGTTGCTTTAGGTCGACGTCGGTGCTGTGCGCCTCCAGCCCGCGCCCGTGCCCCATTCAGTCGACCCGACTCTGCTTGCTTGTGTGCTTGTCTTATTTGGAGCCATGGACCTGACGGTCGATCCTTGGTCAATCTCAGGTGCGTGAGGAATGTCTCTGGTCAGTGGTCAACAGGGACTCGCTGATCGCACGGCGGCTCTAGCCTAACGGGCTGCTAAGTTGCAAAAGTAGTGCGGGCATGCAATGCGGTAGGGAGAAGCCAGGGTATTCGGGGGTCAGGGATTGGGGTCGCCATTGCAGTCACTGGTCAAGTCAGTGGGGAGAGGGAGGGGAGAAAGCTGAAGCACCAAGGGTCTTGAATCTAAACCTGGAGCAAGAGAAACTAGAGGATCAGAGTCGACAGGTCGTCTCGGTATGGAACGGCCAGGTATGCATTGCATTGCTGCAAATCCAGTTCCGTACATAGATGCTGTCTGACCCGGCAAGTTGGTGTGGCAGAACACGAACTCGGAAGCTGGGCGAGCGACGTTGCCTGCAGCTCCCGTTCTGGCAGTCTTGGAAGCTCAAAATCGAAAAGCTACTTGCTTTGCCATTGCTTACGAAAAAGCTCTCGTATGGGCTGACTGACGTAAGTAATGCATACAGTAATTAATGCATGTCAGGCTGGCGCGGAATGATGTGTATTCTGTAGATAGCGCGTTGTATGTATGCGACAGTGTAGATAGGAGCGTATAAGGTTAGGTGAGCATGCAATGCTGGATTATAATATCGAGGGAAATGCCTGCCCGTTTCGATGCCGGGTTTGATGGAAGATGATGTGAGGGTTGTTGCTGTCTGTGATGCCTTGGTCCGTGGTGGTCGGCGGCTCGGCATCCCCTGGCGCCTATGTCTTCGAGGAAGGTACAAGTAGACACCAAACGAGGAGATTCGAAATTGAGAAGGAGGGGAGAGGGGAAAGGGCCGGAAGGGAGGGACGGGGCAGAGGGAGAGGGCAGGCAGGAGCAAATTGGAGTCGAAAGTTGAAAGGCGAGAAAAAGGAGAGACTAGATGATGGCTTTGTTTGCTTTTTTTTTTTTTTTTTGCCCAAGCTTCTTTTCTGAGGTGCTTGAGCCTTGGGTTGTTTTGTTTGAACTGACGTTATTTCGCGCCGGCAGGGAGATGCTTTCTTGTTGCGTCGGGAATGTCCCAGTAATTGCGACCGTATGGACAGATATTTTGTCGTACTGGTCTGACATGACATTGGCACCCCAAAAGTAGGAACCGGGAATAAAAACCATGATGGAGATGGAAAAGTCAGATGAGGCCATCAGTTCGGATAGAGGAAGTTCATTAATCGTGGCTTCCAATTCATTGACACCTTTGTAATGTAGGTACGTATAGCCTTTCGTGATGATGTCGGCAGGTAGTACTTACCACATTCAGTCGTGGGCATTTGGTGGTTTGGGCTCTTCCTTCCGGATAGCCTCTTTTCATCCGTACCGTCCAGCAGGGGTATGCCAACGAGAACTCGTACAACCTATGTGTTGTCTCTGATGATTAATACCTCGAGAAACCTTACGGTCATCTAATTCAACTACCAACCCATGATGGAAATGAGATGCTCTCATGGTGGAGGTCGCCTTACATGGCGATGCGACACCTCATCTCAGACGAATACTTGCCCAAAGTTGGGGTGCTGAGGGTGAGACCCTTCCGGCGAAGAATTCTCGCCCACTCATCGATAACTTTCAAAGCGACCAGGTCTCACTTGGCCTGGCAAGCCACGGGCCGGTCCAATTAACCGCGGGAATGACCGTCATCTTGCGCTTTCTCCCGCGCATCAGAACATCTTGCTGTCATCTGACGAATGGGCAGCCCAGAACATCGGCACATACCTCACGGTTCAGAAGGAGGACTGCGAAAATGTAAAGGTAAACTTCGGCCACCCGCCCCGTCCGCTCCTTCCTTTCGCCTTCCTTGGGGTTCCAAGCCTGCCACAAGGTAAGGCACGAATATACCGTCGTCCATCCGCTCCGACGATCTAGACTACTTCGGTAAGCTACAATCCTCGTTCTTGATCGGACTGAGCCGCCGGGCCGTCATGTAATAATATCTAGGGATCAACTGGTATTATCGCACTGCGAGGCACGACGCTACCCACCTTAGGTAAGATCAGGACCGAACTTGAAGGTACAGCCTACAAAGTACGTTATTTGTCTGACATGCTCTCACGCCGGCCAGAATTTCACAACAGGGCTTCG